GCTTACACAGTTTGATGAATGTTTATAAATACAGTACCCATGTAATTAAACTATTCAACTTAACTTTAAACTATATCCATGTAAAGTTAAAAAAAAACTCGACGGCCCTCAGATGCTCCCCATTTTCTTGCCATTGGAATTCTGTCCCTCTCAGGTAACCCCAGTCCTGACTTGGGAGGACTTTGCTCGCTTTGCTCTCTGGCCCGTTTGTGCGTGCTTGGCAGGAGCGGTCTTGCCTGTTTGTGTGAATCTTACTTTCTTCATGCGGGTGTGAGAAGCCTCTGTCCCTGCCGAGGGCGGCTGCGGTTTGCTTTCATAGCTGAGTACTCCTTGTGGGGTGAATCTGCCTCAGCACAATTACTTACTCTATTTTGACAGACATTGGGGTCGCTTCTCTTTGGGGCTGGTGGGAACAGGTTGCTCTGAACATTCCTGTCCCTGTGCTGACACACGTGTGTGCGTGTGCCTCTCTGACTTGCGCGCCCAGGCGGGAAACTGCTGTGTGCTCAGCTGGGGTGGTCATTCCCGGCTGCTCCCAGCGTGCTGGTGCTGGCTCCCCACCGCAGATCCTGGGACCCCAGGTCCCTGCCTTTACTTATGGCCTTGGCTTTCTTGTGACACATCCTAAGACACTTTGCTCTTGTTCCTGTTGCGTTCTTTTTAAAGTTTGCAGTTATGTTAGATACTTTATCCATTACAAATTTCTCTTCTCTTTTCACCCGCATTAAGATATCTTTTTTCCCCTCTAGAGCCTATTTTTTTAATTTAAATTATTTTGTTGTTCAATTACAATTTGTATTTTTTCCCCACCCCTCCCCTTGCATTAACATGTTTTTTGATGAGGAGTTTTTAATTTTAATACAATCAAATTCATAACTTTTTGTTAGGCGCTTGTATAGGTCTTAAGAAATCTATTGCCCTGGCCAGTGTGGCTCATTTGGTTGGAGCATCATCCTGTAACCAAAAGGCTGTGGGTTCAATTCACGGTCAGGACACATACCTAGGTTGGGGGTTCGATCTCTGATTTGGGTGCATTCAGTCCCTGGCCTGCGCACAACCAGTTGATGTCTCTTTCTCATATCAATGTTTTTCTCTAAAAGCAATGAAAAAATGTCCTTGGGTGAGGATTAAAAAAAAAAAGAAATCTATCTCTGCCCTGGCTAATGTTACTTGATTTGGACCGTTGTCTAGTAAACTGAAAGGCTGTGGGTTCAGTTCCCAGCCAAGGGCACATAACTGGGCTGTGGGTTCACTCCCCAGTCAGGGCACATGCCAGGCAACTAGATGATGTTTCTCTCTCACATCAATGTCTCTCTCCTTCTCTCTCCCATTCCCTTCCCCTTGCTGTAAAATCAATGAGCATGCCCTCAGGTGACGATTGAAAAAAAATCTATCACCAGAATCATGAATTTATTCTGTCCCCTCCCCAGCGATCCAAATTGCCTTCTCCATCAGAGTATCGAGTGTCCCTACCCGTGTCCGGTCTGTCTGTGGCAGTGCTCATTGTGGGAGACCCCCCGCTTCCCCCCAGGCCTCTGCGCTCAGCAAGTGACCCCTCCCCATGTTCCTTCACATTCGTCTTGGCTACTCTAGGTCCTCACTTGTATGGAAATTAATTTCAAGGGTTAGTATATTTTATGACATCAGTTCTTTCTGTTAGTGTATTTAATATTAATTCTTTCCACCCATGTACATAATACATATGTACTAGGTCTTATTTAATGTCTTTTGTTAACTTAATGTCTTCTATAGAGTTCCTGTATGGTTTTTGTAGTTATTCTTAGATGTGTTGTACTTATTGGATATTTTGAAATTTTCTGAGTGTTGAAGACAAGTTTTTTTTATTGATTTTATATATAGCAGTAATTTTTTAAAATGAAATTACAAACACTTTACCAAAAATGTTACAGAAATTTCAACAAGATCCATAGTCTTACCCTCACAAGTCACTGTAGCTGATTTGGTCTATTCTTTTGGACTTTATCTCATATTTTGTGGGCATTTTTTATATATAGTACATGTCTAATTTTTTCACTTACCACTTTTTCATATTTTTCCATGTTGCTTTATAACCATAAGTTTTCTTGTTTATAAACTACTGGGGAGAAGAGGGAAGTGACTTTTGCATTTTCTGAGCTAAATAATCACTGGCTGGCAGCTGTTAGACTGGCTTGTGGCTGTAGCCCTGCGGGTGCCGACACCGTGCCGGAAGAACGGCGCTGGTCTGCATGGTGTGAGCGCCTCCCTCTCTGGGAGAGAGTGCAGCTTCCAGCCGAGTCCCTGACAGAGAGGGATGCTATGCCAGCTGGACACCCACTTGATTTTATTAACCAGTTCTGCACAAAAGTGGGTTTGTAAGAATAGTGTGGAAGTGCTTGTTTCTATTGCTGTAAGGCTTTATTTTTTTTTTAAGTTTATTGATTTGGGGGGCTGGGAGAGAGAAGCATTGATTGGGTGCCTTCCATATGCGCCCCAACTGGGGGGTCGAACCGGCAACCCAGACATGTGCCCCAACCAGCAATCAAACTCCTAAGTTTTTGGTGTACAGGACGACGTCCAACCAGCTGAGCCACACTGGCCAGGGCAGGCTTTATTTTTTGAATGCTATTTGCCTTTAACATTGGTAATATGTTCACATGGCAGAGAATTCAAAAGAATCAAAGTCTATAGTAAAATTTCCCTCCTACCTTTGTCCCCAACCATGCTAGGTTTCGTGTGTCTCTCTCCAGAGATGCCGTGCGCATGAGTGATCAGGGTCGTCTGGGGCTCCCTGTTTGTTACACGGGCAGAAACTTGGATGCAGACGTCCTCACCTTGCTTCTTAAAAAGTGTTTCTGATTATAAACAGAGCTGTGAGGAAAGGGAATTGTTGAGTCTCAGAGCACTGTCCATATTAAATTCTTACAGATTCCAGTTGTCTTTAGCAGTTAGACAAACATTTGTTTCCCTCAGTGTTTTCAATTTTATCAAACTTCTCAATTTTTGCCATTCTCCTGAGAAATTATAATTTTGATGTGCATTTCTTATGCGTAAGGTCATACACCATATTTATGGAATTTTTCCTGTGCAGAAAAAACATTTCAATTTTTATGTTGTCTGAGTTATATAATTTCCTTTTTGACTCCTGGGTTTGTATTGGGTTGGCCAAAAAGTTTGTACGGTTTTTTCCATAAGATGGCTCTAGTAGCTCTTAGCTATCTTTTACTCCATTCAAAACAATTTTGTTAAATTGTATTGTGACAGCTGTCATATCAACATGCATTTAAAAAAATTATCAAATTGGTGAGTTTTTATGTAGCAACTTTAATATTGAAGGTGAAAAAATACACAACATTTTTGGCATATTTTGCTTTATTATTTCAAGAATGGTAAAAATGCAACTGACATGCAAAAAAAGATGTGTGCAGTGTACGGGGAAGGTGCTATGACTGACTGAATGTGTCAAAAGTGGTTTGCGAGGTTTTGTGCTGGAGATTTCTCACTGGATGATGCTCCACCGTCAGGTAGACGACGTTAATAGTGATCAAATCAATACATTAACTGAGAACAATCAATATTATACCATGTGGGAAATAGCCAACATACTCAAAATATCCAAATCAATAAAGTTATTGGTAAATGAAAAATTTATCTTTTATGGAAAAACAAATTTTTTGGCCAACCCAATACTTTGCTTGGAAAGGCTTTTCCTTCTGAAATTATAAAACCTTTCCTCCCTGTGTTCTTCTAAATTTTTATATTTAACACTTGATCCTTCTGGTGGAATTAGCTTTGGTCTGAAGAATGTGGTGGGAATCTAACTTCATTATTTTCTGGTTGGCTGGCCTGTTATCCTGTTTTCCACTCTTGTGCAATGCTGTCTTTAATCAGCACAGATTAAATTCCCATGTGTGTGTAGCTCTTTGTACGTTGTCGACTTTTTTGCACTTAACTGTTGCCTTTTTGTTTTCCAGAACAAAACTGTTGTATTACTGGAACTTTATAATATGTTTTAATACCTGGAATTTCTCCCTCAGATTCTCTTGGCTCTTTTCTTCTATGTTTATTTTATTTATGAATTGTATATTAGATTGTTTAGGCATAAAATTCAACTTTTAGTGTAAAAGAAACATATTAAATGTATGGGTTAATTTAGGGGAAATTATAGTCTCTTTAGTTAAGCACCAACATGTGCCTTTTTAAATACTAACTGCTGTCCCTTCAGTATTTACTTTAGATTAATTTTGGTACTTACTGCATTTTCTAACGTCAGAACTCTTGTGTGTTCCTTTGGGTATGTAATCATATTACCTGTCGAGGATCATTTACTTTGTTCTGATTTTTATGTGTCTCTTTTTTTATACTGGACTTTCCTGTTACACCATTGTGACTGTTCTGATAACTCCAACTGCTCAGAAGTTAGAGGCCCTTGTGCTGGGGTGCACAGCCCTGAGCTTCCTTCTGGGGGTTCTGTTGCAGGCACACGCTGATCAAGAAGCTCAGTCAGCTGAGAGAGAGTGAGCCTGAGCTGGCCCAGCTGCTCGTGGATCAGGTGAGTCCCTGGAGCCCGGCCTGGAGCACGGGCACAGAGGGCTGCCCGTTCTCCGCGCCTGCATCTTCCTTAGAGGTTGGGCAGCTCAGTTCGCTGTGAAACCGTTTTAAGGAGGAGCAGCTCCCTCCCTGTCTTCTCTCTGCATTAAAATGCCCCCGAGTTGGAACCAGGAAAGGCCTCCCCCAAGAACAAGGCCACTGCCCTGCCTTTCAGATCTACGAGAACACCATGATCACAGCGGGGCTCGTCGATGACCCCCGGTCCATGGTGGGCCGCCTGAACAACCTGCTTGTCAAGGCTCTGGAGCGACACTGATGGGGACGGCTGGGCCCCCGCGGTCCAGGGGCACGGCACAGCTGCCACGGGAGCCCCACGCCTTCCCTGCACCGTTAAAGCTCCAGGGGCGGTGACAGTGGAACTGGGTGCCTCTGCCGTGGGAAGGAATGACTGGATGCCGCCAACAAGAACACCCTCTTTTGAGCTTTATTTACTTAAAAAGTATTTCTTAATCTAAGCATTAGACTTTATGTGCTTACTGTCAGTACGTCACTCTGTTGACAACAACCCTATGCTTATGACAGAAGCAGGTACAGTGAGAAAAAGCCTACTTTCTGCCCCCTTCCTCAAGCTGGTGTAGTGGTCAGGGGGACAGTGGGGAGGGAAGAGGAGGGGAGGGAGGGGCGCTGGCCCTGTGCTCAGTGAGCTCGCCCTGGGTCCCTGAACTGTGTCCCCAGAACCTGACCAGGACAGCGGGATCATCCGGCATCTTCAGTGTGCGGTGCAGGCCCAGGCGTGGCCACAGAAGCTGGGGGGCTCCCGCCAGGGCCCCGGACCTGCTCTCGTCAGGCCCTCTTCAGTGTCACCTCCACTGGGTAATGGTCGCTGATGGCTTGGGCCTGTGGGGAAACCCGCAGTGAACCCCGGGATGTCCGCGCCCCTAGAGCTCCCAGGGCTGTAGACAAAGGGTTCCTTCAAGTCAACAAAAACAGCAATTGCTCTAAGTCCCGTGGGTCTGGCTGTCACTCCACCCCTGCATCCTAGGCCCCCCTTAGAGCTACATTCTGTAAAGGGCGGTCACGTACAGTCTGGTTGCTGAGTCCATATGCAGCTTGGAAGTCAAAAGGAGCAGCTGAGGAGGGCACAACGGCATGTTGGAGCAGAGTTCCAGCGACCACAATCCTGCAGCACCAGACACGAGAGAGTCCTCCTTCGGCCTGCTGTCCGGCTCTGTACATGCAAGCCTCCGATCCCAGCCTGCCCCGCCAGCTCACCCTCACAAGCTTTCCCCCGAGAAGCTGAGCTGAGGGACCTGAGCACCTCACCGAGCCCAAGTGTCCGGCCTTCCCCACCACAGTTTCAAACGAGGGGGCTGCAGGGGCCAGCTCCCATCTGGCCTGTGTGGCCCTCGGGGTGACACCGCTCAGGGAGGGCCCCTGCTCCCACCCCCCCCAGCCCGCGCCCCAGGCCAGGGCTAGCCTTATGCCTGGCCAGACTCAGAGCTGGGTGTGCCCAAACTGGGCACCACCGTCTGACCTGTGCACCTGAGACCGCTCACAGGAGAAAACTAGCGTCACGATAGCCTCACATGTTCCACTTCGTAAGTGGCCAAAAGCTCAGGAGGAGTGAGTGTCTCCTCAAAGTTGTTGGGAACCATTTCTGAAGCTGGTCCTAGATGGAAGTCAGCTGCTCGTGGAGGTGGTGTCCCCATCCCTACCTGGGGCCTGCAGAGCCCACGGGGCACGCAGACCCTGCTCACCTGTCATAGGCACAGTGCGTGGGCGTGACCGTGGTGTCAGCAGTGTCGGGAATCAGCCATTGGAAGGTAGGGATTGTGCGCAGGCGGATGGATGCCCAGTGCGAAGGGGTCACGTAGCTGCAGCCCGCGTTGAAATCACCCATCAACATGACATCCTAGCAGGAGACGCCAGCAGGTTGGTCCATGGACAGAAGAGGGCCCTTAGGAGCCCAGTCCAGTGTGGGGGGGTCTCACCTCCATGTCCCACTTCTGGCGGACATCCAGGTAGACATCGTAGAGAGAGTTGATCTCGGCCACTGCATCCAGTGGGGCCGCATGCAGGGGGATGATGGCAAACTCCTTGACCTCTAAGGAGAAGGTAGTTGTGCTAAGCAAGGAGTTGGCGGGGGGAGTTGGGGCGCAGTCCTGGACCAAGGGTGCATTCATCTGGCTCAGTCATGTGTCCAGGGCTGGGGTGGAGGGTGCGGGCGTGGGTATTTCTCCAAATCACTTCCGTGTAAGACCAAAACACAGGTGGGGAGGGCAGCAAGCTCCCCGAAGGGGTGCGTGGCGGGTGTTGACTGTGATGGGGGTCTTCAGGGTGTTCTGGGAAGGGTCAGGCAGGGCCCCCCGGCCAGGCTGGGCGGAGGCGCCTCTGTGGCAGCAGCACTCACCGGTGAGTGGGGAGGAGAACTTGACAACTGTTGGCTCTCGGCTGAAGGTGTCGTTCCCGCAGGGCTCACAGCCATCGTCGTACTGGTAGGAGTCCAGCACCGTCACCTGGTCAGGTCTGAGGAAGGCCGGGCCAGAGGGTGCTTACCCTGGGGCTGGGATCGCTGCCTCGTCTCGCTAAGCCCGCCTGTCGCAGCGGTCCGGGGCCCGGTCTAAGCTTGGATGTCACACAGACCCACCAGCCCAAAGCTCCTGGCCACCTGTGTCCTCTTGTCCTTGTGCAGGTGGTGAGGCCTTGGGGCACGGCAAGCACTTGGGAGGGTGGGCAGCCCAACTTGGACCCTGTTCTGTGGCCTCCAGTTCCTTCCCCCACCCCAGGAAGAGGAGTCTTGTGGGCTTTCTAGAACACCGTGCCCACACCCCCCTCCTGTCAGAAACCTCAGAGGCGGCGGCCTGCCTGTCAGTGCCTGTGCTTTACCTGAACAAGAAGAGGTAGCGCTCCTTATAGCTGTTGCGGCCCAGTGGCTCACTGACTACGTAGTGGTAGGTGTTAGGGTTGTCTCTAGATTGAGGAAACAGGTGTACCAGCCAAGGGACACGCAGGGCACACCCTGTTGCCTCCAGCAGGGCTCCTGCCCACACCAGTGTCCCTGGGACCTACCCAAAGTGGCACTGTGCCCTGGAGGGATGGTCACTGTCCCCATGTGCTTCCCCAGGACCCCGCCACCTTCACTCACTGATTGAGTCTGTCCAGCAGCTTCCCCACGGCTGTCAGGTGTAGGTCTCTGACCTCCTGGACCAGGACGATGTCATAGCGGCTCAGGATCTGGGGACGGGGCCACAGCAGTGCTGAGCAGGGACAGGCTGGGTGGAGACTGGCGTCTGAGCCCTGCCCGCTCCAAGTCCCTGCAAGAGCCAAGCTGCTACTGCCCAGGGCGCTTTCACAACCATTTGGTCTGCAGCCTGTCAGCCACAGGAGTGACGAGGGCCCTGTCCCCACAACTGACCGGAGGCTGAGAGCAGAGGCCTGAGAGTTTGGGATCTTCAGGACAGACCACTGGCCCAGTGTTCACAGGGCCTTTTCGAGCACGCTGCACCCGCTCCAGGTTCCTTGGGCACAGGCTGGCTCGGACGCACCTGCACGATGTAGCTGGACAGGGTGGCATTGGACATCTTGGTCTCCCCGAAAGACTGGATGTTGAAGGCGGCTACTCTCAGGGGCAGGGCTGTGTGCAGCACGCCAGCGAGGGTGAGCAGCACCCCCGTCAGCCTGACACCCTGCATCCTGGGGGAGGAGGGATCCGCGTTTGGGTCTGGGTCAGCAGACAGTGCCCCATCTTCCCTCAGAGTCCGTCCGCATGGAGCTGGTGGGGCCCAAGGTTGAGCAGTGTCCTCACGGGCAGTGCTGCAGAGCCAGGGTGGACCTCGGCCCTCTCACCAGCGTCCAGAAAGCCAGACTCCAGCACCAAGGAAAGGACCCCGGGGTCTTCTCACCCCTGCACCCACCAGAAGACAAGCCCCCGTGGGGGTCACCAACCCGAAGGGGTGCTCCAGTGGCCGGCTAGTGGTGAGACGTTGGCTCACTGCCACCCCTGCTCCAGGGACCCACCTGGCCAGGAGTGGCCAGGGCTCTTCCCAGTGTGGCCGCGGTCACGCAGAGGGACCCTGCTAGGCCTCCAGGCGTGGTGCCCACCCTCTGACCGGCCACAAGTCACACAGCCTTCGGGCACTAGACACTCACCTGCGAGGTGACTTCCACCAAAGATGATGAGAATTCTCCTGAGAACCAGGAGTTGATATTCTTTGATACCAATTTTCTCCTTTTGGTGCTTTAAGAAATATAACTTACAAAGGTGAGTCTCCTGAGACGCGACGCTGACAGGCGTGCGAGCTGCTGCACTGCTGAACCCCACGCCGGGAGTGCTCGCTCCTCCCGGGGCTTTAAAGGTCCAGGCAGCCGCGACCTTTCCAGGGGCATCACCTCAAGGACACAGAACAGTGGCACTGCCTGTGTGGCTTTCCCACTCAGGTAAATGGCTGGCATGTGTTTATTTTAACAGGCACAGTTTCTTGGTGCTATAAAAAGCACCTAGTGGTATTTGCTCTTAGTTTTAGAAAGTCTAATAAAAGTCCAAAGGTGCGCGTGTCCTTCACATGTGCTGCTCTCCCAGCGATGGGGAGCAGGTGTGCTCTGGGGGGCAGGACTGCTACCCCGGTTGGCAGGACTTGAGATGACCTTGGAGCCAGTCGTCAAGGCCAGATACCCCACGCCGCAGGCTGCAAGTGGAGCCCATGGTGGCTGCTCTGTGGCCCAGGAGCACACCAGGCCTCTTACCAGTAGTCCCTGCTCCTTAATCCCTCAGCCGTGAGGGCTGCAGGCAACGTGGCTAGAAGCTGGGGCCCTATGATGTACATGTGCGATGTAGCATTGGGAGCTGCAGGGCGTGGGTGTCAGGAATGGGTGGGGACTGCAGGGCCCACCTTGGTGGTCAGCAAGGCAGTGAAGAGCCTTCTCTGGGTAGGAAGAGAGCCTGTGCATTCTAGGCCCAGGTGACCTGAGTCACAAGGATACGGGCAGCAACCGAGGGCCTGTGACAGGCCTGGGGTCCAGTCACTTCTTTTTGGAATTCTTGGTTTTCCCATTTATATTCATTTCTTGTGGCTGCTATAATACATTACCATAAACTTGGTGGCTTAAAACAATAGAGCCCTGATTGGTGTGGCTCAATGGGCTGGGCATTGTCCCACAAACCGAAAGGTCATTGGTTTGATTTCCGGTCAGGGCACACGTCGGGGTTGCAGGCTAGGTACCCTGCTGGGGCTGAATGAGAGGCAACCAGTTGATGGTTTTCTCCCTTTCTCTCACCCTTCCCCTTTTTCTAAAAATAAATAAATAAAATCTTTAAAAAATAGAAAATTATTCTGTAACAGTTTCAGATGTCAGGGTCCAAAGCCCATTGCACTGAGCTGGGATCGAGGTGTGGAAGGGCCGCACTCCCTCCAGAGGCTCTACGGGGTCTTTCCTGCGTCTCCAGCTTCCGGCAGCTCCTGACGGTCCTGGTCTGTGGCCACATCGCTCCAGCCCCCGCCCCCACCTTCACGCTGCCTCCTCTGTGTCAGTTCTCCCCTGCCTCTCCTCTCGCCCCCCCTCTCGGAGGGAGACGGGTGATTGAATTTAAGGTCCTCCCAGATATTCGAGGACCCTCTCCCCATCTCAAGATCCTTAATCACATCTGCAGTCATTTTTGGCCCCGTAAAGTTTTAGATTCCAGGGTTCAGGTCACAGGCTCCAGGAATTGGGACATGGATACATTCTGGGGCACCATTATGCATCCCGCCACCCATCCACATGGGGTGGGCCGGGTTCCTCCCTGGGACGGAAGGGAGGGGTCACACTGAGGTGGTGCAGCGCTGCGGGGGGGGGGGGGGGCGCGAGTCAGGAGGCACCAAGGTCACAGTCACAGAAGTGCCCCAGACCAGGCCAGCTGGCCATGAAGCAGGAGGGTGCTGAGGGGATTAGCAACAGTTTATTAGGTAAATCAACTTCACAAGACTGGAACCCCCTGAAGTAATGACGACGTGCTGACGGACAGCCCTGGCTGTCAGCATGAGCGCTAATCAGCTCGAGCGTCCTTGGGTAAGGCCTCTGTGCGCTGAAGTCAGGTGGCCTGGCCCTCAAGCTTCCAGGAGCCCCACTGCAGCTTTTTGCAAAGGTCTGATCGCTGATTGTCCCATTTTTAACCCCTGAGCGTAGCTTTAAGCATGTCAAAATCCAGATGCCAACCACCAAGCAAGACCATTGATTGGCCTAGATTCCTTTCTTCCAGGAGTTTCTTTCCTGGACACACTTGCCAGACATTTTGAGGGGTGCATGTGAGCAAACCTGGGGGGCGGTCCCTGGTCCAGTGTTTGGCTAGACACAGAACACTGACCACAGTCACGGATCCCAGTACCTGGCCACCTCAGTTCTCAGCGTGTGGGACACAGGCACCTGTCTGTTGGCACCCTGCCCTCGAAACCAGACGCTGCCCAGACGCTGCCCTTTCTCTCTGGAGCACTCCCAGCCAGGGTCCCTGCCCTCTCCCCAACATGCCAGAGGGTCCCGACCTTGGCCCCACTGGTAAGAGCCGAGCCCTGTGGCCGTGTTGGCCACCCTCGGGGCCGGGCCTGCACAAGAGGCAGCACAGCCTGGGGAAGAGCCTGGCCCGGGAGGCAGGGACTCTGGGACCCAGAACAGGCTCATTCACTGCACCATCAACCACTTTGCGCCTCAGTGTCATCTATAAAAAGGGGATAAAACCATCACTGCTTCCCTCTTCGGTTTATCTTAAGTATTAATGGATATAACATTATTCCAGAAGAATCATTTCACACCTCCTTGAAAATCCACCTATCCCTAAGACCCTATCACATGGTATCTTTTCATCACTCCTTTCCCTTTCCCTCATTGACCACTTTCTTTTATCAGTCAACTGTTGCTGTGTAACAAGCAATCCCAAAATTCAATGTGTACCACAATGTGCATTTTTTTTGTTGCTCATAGTCTCACAGATCACCTGGGAGGGTTCTGTTCCCTGGACCTCTCCTGGGGCCAGGCTGAGGGGCTTTGGCCACCCGGGGCCTGCCCATCTAACATGGTGGAAGGGGAAAACTTCCCTGGGGGTAAACTAATACATGACGCTTCAGCTTGGAATTTGCACATTGCCGTTTTTTCCCCACACTCTCTTGGTCTTAGCCAGCAACAGGGACAAGCCCAACACCAGGGACAGGAGTCAGGGACTCCTGCACCGGGCCCACACCCGAGGTGCAGAGGGGGTGTGAGGGAAGGAAAGAGGCTTCTGGCACTTTTCAAAACCACATCGGCAGGAAAACGGGCACCGACAGCAGACACTGTCTTTGATCGGGGTGAGCTATTTTTACATTAACCCTGAGAGTCTGCCGGCCTCTTTGGCTAAACATGCTCCAGATACAGGGAGGGAAAACAGCACATCACAACGAAGTCGGAGTGATTCTCAAGCTCTGTGGCTAAAATCAAAGGATAAAGAAAAAATTCTCTGATGAGGACTGAGGCCAGGAGCAAACGGCTCCAAAGGAAACCTGACATGCAAGGCTGTAGGGCTTCAGGTGACAATGAGGGCCAAACACCTGTGGCCCGTCCCCGGAGCTGCAGGGCCGGTGGTGACTAGCTGCACGCTGTGTGTGGCCCAGGGCAGAGGGGTGTCCACAGACCCAGAGGGAAGGGGGCAGGGCTCGGAGCTCCGGTCCCCAAAGGTGTGAGGGGGCACCTGCCGGCCCGCCGTGAAGTCTGGCACCACAGGGCACTTTCCACTTGTGAGGGGAAGAGTGATTCTCAGCATTTTTGGACACCTCATCATTTCAAAATATCTTGCAACATCCTTTTCTGTGATTTCAAGTCTCTGCAAAGCTAGGTTTCTGCAAGTTATTAATAAAGCAAATACCGTACGGAATCAGTGTGTAAGATTTAACAAAAACCTGACAGGCGCACACGTTTTATTTGTAAGTAATTGTGGTTACTTATAAATGAAATGAAAAACATTTTTCTTTAAATTTCTATGTATTACTTTTCCAAATGTCTACTGTAAATTGCTAGGACATAAATACTAGTTTGTTTGGACTTATAAATGAAACTGTTAGGTATTTCTTTTGGCCTAATGGTCCCTTTAAAATGCTGAACCTTTAAGTAGAGGTGCTCTGAACCGGGACTGTTTGGGATTTAACGTACTACGTATGCCTGCATTACTAGGCCATACACCTTACTATACTGATACACTTTCTTTCGTGGCCTTCATCATTTACAACATACTAAATATCTTGTCACAAAAATGTTCAAGCCTACAAACTGCTAAGGAGATGAATAATTTCAAGTCTACAAAGTTCAATAGATTAAACACGTTTAATTGCACGAGAGCTCACACTGATGTGAAAAACTCATTGGTCACCTTTGGGGGCTGAGTTGTTATTCTGCAACAGGCAAACAAAGAGAATTAAGAACCTACCCTGTCTTTCCCATGTAAACCGTACCACTGAGATGAAACTGCACTTTATGGAGGAGTCTTCCAGCTGAACAATGAGGAATAAATAACTGCTAGAATCTGAGACTTGGCAATTTGCATCCCTAACCTGTGATTTCAAGTCTCTGCAAAGCTAGGTTTCTGGAAGCCACTGATCATCGATGGCTGCGATGGGCCCCCAGGTCAGAGAACACAGTGGCCTTTCAGAAGAAGCTTGCCAAGATCGTCTTGAATCTGATCAAACCTCTACAGACAGAGGCTTGTGATCACCAACATTACGGGGACACAACACAATCCAGACCGTAGGAAACTATAGGACTAAGAATGGTCTCACCAATAAATTTTAGGGGGGAAAAATAACAGTGAGAAGAGAGGAGGAATTAACAGATTGAAAAGAAACTTGAGATACATCACTAAATGCAATATTTGATCCCTGTCAGGATCCTATTAAACATTAAATTCTTTAAACATTTGAAAAAACCACTGCCTCCCTGGTTGGTGTGGCTCAGTGGATTGAGTGCCAGCCTGTGAACCAAAGGACCGCCAGTTCAATTCCCAGTCAGGGCACATGCCTGGGTTTCGGGCCAGGTCCCCAGTAGGGGGTGCAAGAGAGGCAACCAGACATTGATGTTCCTCTCCCTCTCCTTCCCTTCCCCTCTCTCTAAAAATAAATAAATAAAGTCTTTAAAAAACAAAAATAAAATAAACCACTGCTTAATAAATCATTTAAGATGCAATCAGAGAAATTCAAACACTGATCTGGTAAATGGAAGTGTTAAATTCTTAGGTTTCATAATGCCATCATAGTTACACTTTCAACAGTCCGTAGATTCCAGGGCCACGCTGAAGTACTTCAGGATGAAATAATATGATGTCTGGGATTTACTTAAAAATGGTGGCCCTGAATCTGGGTAGTGGGTACATGAAGGTTCATTATACTAGTCTCTACTTTTGAATGTTAAAATTTTTAATTTAAAAAAATTCTACAAATCAAAAACTTTACAAACCACACAACTGAATATAATGTAGTATCCAAAAATGAGGTAACAAAAAGTATTAAAAATGAAATTATTACTCACCCCGGCTGGGTGGCTTGGTTGGAGTGTTGCCCCATGCACCAAAAAGTTGTGGGTTCAATCCCCAGTCAGGGAAAAAACCCAGGTTGCAGGTTCAATCTCCAGTTGGGGCATGTTTCTTCCCTTCCCTTCCTTTCTCTCTAAAATCAATAAATATATCCTTTAGTGATATTAAAAAAAAGTACTTAAGGATGAAATCAATCACTGAAAATGCTCTGAATGCCCAGTTTTGCACGTTAGAAAGAGCCTCTGGCCACAGTGAGGGCTGGGCTTAGAGCAGGGGAAGGCAAGCAGTTCAGCTTATGGTGAGGGACAAGGGTGGCCAGAGCAGAAAGGATGGCAAGGTGGGGGGAGAGCTGCAGGCTTGGGACAGGAATTGGTGGCAAGATGTGGAGCATAAGAGAAGATTTCAAATTGTCAGTAATTGTGGGTGGACAGACAGTGACCAGCTGTCCCAGGGCCAGCGGTCTTCCACCTGCTCAGGAAGTATCTCCTCTGAGACGAGGCCTCCTCCCTGAATCCAGCTGTAGGTGGGTCATCTCCACTCAACTCCAGCAGGCTGCATAAACGTGCCACAGCAGAAGAGACTTTGGACTGAGTCCCTGGTTGCGC